AGTGCTCTACCACCTGAGCCACAGCGCCACTTCCAGCTTTTTCTGTTTATGTGGTGCTGAGGAATCAAACCCAGAGCCTTATGCATGGGAAGCAAACACTCTACCACTGAGCCACCTTCCCAGCCCACAGAAGCTTTTTTAGTGTACTATTTGCAGTTATTTCTTTTTTCTTTCTTTCTTTCTCCCCCACCCCTTTAGTTTATTCCCTGCTGTCACTGTTTTGATCTCTGCACCTTTTTCTGGTATATAAGTTTATCTTATTTGGGAAAGGGAGGAAGAATCAAAGAAAAAGCTGGAACAAATGGTGAACCAGTGCAACAGTGATAGTCACTAGACACCATATTGGAAATAAACTTTACTTGGTGGGGAGAGGTGTCGGGGGAAAGTGGGGAACTGGGAGAAAATGAGGGAGGGGTAGCACTGCTCAAAAAGAAATGTACTCATTACCTTAATTATGTAACTGAAACCCCTCTGTATATCATCTTTACAATAAAAAAAATAAAAAGGAGCCTCAATTTGACATTTGCATTTTTAGGAGATTAAAATTTCAGTGGTGCCTATTTGCTAACTTATATAATAGGCTAATTTGAAAACTGAGTGCTCCTAAACCTGTCACAGGCTCAGAGGCTTATTCACTATGATTATTTCTAATATATGTATAAGTATAATAGGTAGCACATATTATGCATCATATATTTCTTTTATATGTAACATAAACTAGGAATTTCATATTTTATATTTTGATTTAAAATCTATAATTCATTGAAATAATGTGAATCATACACATAAACTGTGAAATGCAGTTGTTAATGAAAACAGCTCTATTCCAAGTAAGGAAAATCTCTAGGTCATCTTTTCATGTGAAACATAAAGGACAAACATTTTTCAGTAAGTAATTTTAAGTGTCTTCTGCAAGTTGCAAAGTCTGACTTAGCTCTCTCTGAAGGATTCACTGCTTGCCCTCCACCTTCCTATAGTGAAATTCCACTCCATCCATAATCTACAGTGTCTGTCTTGTGGGTGGGATACATCACTAGCTTCTGACTGCAGAGCTGGCCCTCTTTAACCAAGCCTAGTAACAGAGAGATGACTAGGAAACAGTGGAGGAAGCTCCTTAAGTCTTCTTGGAAGCTTTATTAGAATGGCTGCATTAATAGATTCTAAGAATGAAACTGGAAATTACCCTGTGAACATTGTATTTGGTAATGTGCTACTGTGGAAACAACAAGACTTCTCAGATAACAAAGAATCTGAACAATCTTTGGAGGTTGAAAAGCTTTTATAAAATATTTATTTCTAAGGAACAATACAACAATTTTATTTTAAAAAATTATAGCTTTCTTAGATGTCAGTGCCTCATACCTGTAATCCTAGCTACTCAGGAGATATATCTGAGGATTGCAGTTCAAAGCCAACCCACATAGGACAATCCATGAGATGCATATCTCTAATTAACCCCCAAAAGCCAGAATTGGAGCCATGGTTCAGATGGTACAGTAAAAGTGGTAGCCTTCGGCAAAAAAATCTCAGTGACAGGGACCAGGCCCTGAGTTCAATCCCCAGGGCTGGCACCCAAACATACAAAAAACAATAACAACAAAAACCCAGAGATTTATTGTTTCCAACTGTTTGTCAACAATTGAGTGGTAGCTTAATTCTAATCTACTATAGATTGGACAGGGGCATGAAGAATTAGAGCTACAATTCATAGGTTAAAAGTTTCTCTTGCTTAGAGTCATTAAGTTTTCTACACCAAAACTGGGTTGAGCATCATCTGGAAGAAGTTAATTGCTCTAAGAGTACATTTCTAGCATTAATTTGCTCTGGTTTACCTATATCTTTCTACCCACAACTTGTAGTATGACATCATTGTGGTTGAATACATACGTATGTTAATTCCTTTTCCTATGGCTATGAAGTGCTTGAAAATCTCTCTAGGGAAAAGACGATGAACAAATCAAAGAATCTCTTATCCAACATCTCCACCTTTATTCTTTGAGCTTATCTGACTAGAAAGCAAAGTAAGCACTATATATACCATAGTTCTAATTATTCCTAACATGCATGCAATTCAGCCACTTTGGTGACAGTATATTCTTTGGCATTAGATAGGCAAAGCTCTAAACATCCTGATATTCTGCAAGTCTGGCCTTTGAGGGAACTTTAAAACCAAGATATGCCTCTCCTATGATACCATGAGAGTTGTTTTGACTTATAGGCTCTGCCCATGGGGGGAAAAAACCCTCTGCCTGGAACACCATCCATGTGCTCTCTCTGTCCTTGCAATGTCAAGCTCATAGTCTAGCCCAGGGTACTCCCTCTTTGTGCATAGTATATGGCTTTGTGTCTATTGAGAGGAAGTACAAGAAAGACATGCCTCTGGAAGCCCTACTGCTTTGATACACTCCAAACAGTGATGTAGTTGGATCCTTTCTTAACATCTGATTCTATACACATTCAAAGAATGGGCTATTGGGGTGTCTGAATGAGAAAGCTCCTAAGAGACAAGAAGGGAGTATAAACAGTCTGTTATTCTGAAACTAACCTGACTTTGCTGAGCTGCCCTTACAAGGAAAGCAACAAGGAATTATTTTCCTGTAAAGTCCTCTTTACACTAAATAGACTCATTCCAAGAACTGAATATTCAAGTGGCCACAATCTCCTTCAACAAGGGGAAAATGTGCATATCAAATCTAAGTCACAATGGAAAACTTGATGCCTGGGGAAAAGAGAATAACTTTTACAAGGTCTTTACTATTGTGTATTTCCAGTTAAATTTTAATGTTGAAAGTTAATGACTAATCACCGTTAATAATCAAATATGTGAAGTGGATTTGGTTACTTTGAGTGAGTTAAGTCTGCTTTCCTTAAGCACCTGTCTCAGTAGCCATTTAAAAATTGTGGTCAATAAACTAGCAATGAATTATTTTCTATGTAACGTCCACATGGGGTTAATAGACATCCATAGAGATGACATTCTATTTATTGTTAATAAATAAATAATATCCTATTATTTAGTTCAGAGATCTGCTTTTTAATAGACTGTAGCTAAGAGATTTCAGAATACTTAACTGGTTTCCCTGACTCATTTTATTAGCAAATGAGAAAGAATACTTTCTACATACTTTATACAGAGCTCAGCATAATTAAATACTCACAAGAAGTTCATGGTTATATTTTCTGTCTCCTTTCCTGCACCATCACCAGTACTAACTAACTGGTTAATCAATCCAGGATCACTTCAGTGTCTCTCCTAGCAGAGAGAGAGAGAGAGAGCTCTCTGCAGGTCTGAGGAGAGGAGATAATCCTGGGCTTCCTTGCCCTTCCTCAACCCGCTTGCCTGAGTTTGGAAAGTAAGATGGAGGTAAATTCTTCAAACATCATGATCATAATGCCTCTGAGTCTAATGATGTGGCAATTAAAAGAGAATTAAACACAATTTGTGTTTTCTGAATAAATATCTACTCATGGGAAAATGATGAGGCTCAAAAAGCATGCTGGTTGAGAAAGAACAGGAAGTGAACATGTAATGAAATATTTTTCTAAAATCATTATCATAATAAGCAAGTCATCACCAAACAGAAAGCAGTTAGCAGATACTATCATTTTGTACATACATTATACGTATCGTATATTGATGGCATAGTATTTCCCACAAAAACTTTTGGGATCTGAAGGTTTTTTAGTTATGATCAAAGATCATCACTTTTGAAATATCAAAATGTTAAATCATCAGAGACATCCAAAGTCAAAAATCATGTTTATGATTCTCTGGCACAACCAGGGTTTGTATGAAAGAATTACCAACACTTTTGGTGGGGTCTCGGGCAGTGGTACTCAGAAGACAATACATTGGAAATAATCTGTACAAGTTGGGAGGGGGTTGGGGGGAGGGAAAGTGGGAGAAAAATAAGGGAGGGGGTAACAAGTTCAACAAAAAATGTACTCACTACCTTACCTATGTAACTGTAACCCCGATGTACATTACCTTGACAATAAAATTAAAACTTTTTTAAAAAAGAAAATGAGGCATATGGTGTATAATAAAGGAATAAAGTAAGGAATCAACTATGTATCAAGAAAATCAAATATGAAAACAAATCACTAATCCAAGTGAAGGCCTGTGATATTGTGAAATATATATTTGATCTCTCTCTCCTAAAAATACCTTAAAAATCTCTGGACTCTCTAAAGTAATGAGTACCTATCTACGTGATTGCAATTGGCTGGTGGCTGGCAACTCTGGTGTGGTTTCAGGACAGGACATGGCAGTATCCAAGGGTTGGAACTTTCTGCTTCACCCTTCACCTCCAGAGAGGGAGACAGGTTGCAGGTTAAATTGATTGACCATGGTCAATAAGATAGTGAATCATGCCTATGTAATGAAGCCTCCATAAGAACCACACACAACAAAGAACAGGGCTCATAGAGCATCTGGATAGCCAAACATGTGGAGTACTTGAGGATAATGTTACTGGAAACGCAGAAAAGTACCATGCCTCATCCCACATACCTTTTCTGGTTCACCTATGCATCTGATCCTTTGCAATATCCCTCTTATTAAGCCAGCCAATCAAAATACATGGACCTCTGAGTTCTTAAGAGCTGTCCAGCAAACAGGAGACAATGGGAACCCCAATGTATAGTCTGTGGGTCAGAAACACAGGTAAACCAACCTGCATCATCTTATGTCTGGCATCAGAAGTGGGGTGGGTGAATACTAGCCTTCAACCTATGGGATCTCAGGTGATCTTCAAGTAGATAAACAGCAGAGCTGGTTTGAATTAAAGAAAACCCAGCTGGTGTCCACTACCGAACCTTTTCCTTGCTTGCTGTCTGAGAAAAGTACCCCTGGCATGAGAAGCCTAGTGTGAATGCAATATCAAACCAAATGAGTTTGGATGGCTATTTGCTCTACATCCTTGAGGGGAGTCTTCTAAAATGCAGGATTATGCAGGCCCCAACACACTGCAATGATGTACCCTGAACATATCACTCACCACGGTGACTGCATCATTCAGCAGAGACTCGCCAAAGACCAGGATATAGAGCTGTTCGTTGACATGGATGTTCTCAAAGACAGCGAGGACAGCCACGGGATCCACAGCTGAGATCAAGCTGCCAAAAAGTAGGTTCTGGAGCAGAGTGATGTCACTGAGGCCAAACGCTTCAATCTGGCAGATGCCAAACAAAGACACCCCAATGCCAATGGAATTCCAAAGGGTCCCTACCACCGCATACCAGAAAATAGTGCCAATGTTCTCAAAGAAGGGGCGAGTGGGCATGAAATAGCCAGCATCAAGCACGATGGGTGGCAGAAGATATAAGAAAAACACATCAGTCTTCATTGCCGGGGGAGATTTTTCATCAACACCAAAAATAATCCCACCCAGTAGGAGTCCAACCATTATAAGAAGGCAGCTCTCAGGCACGATTGTGGGCAACTTGTGGTAGAGATGAAAGCCTGTGAAAAATTAAAGACATAAAAATACGGGTTATGGGAGAGTCCTGGAGAACATGGAATCAATGTGTCTAATTTTACATCTCCCAGGTCAGTATAATTGGCTACAGACTGGCTATAGACTGGCATTCCAAAGTAAAACATAAATAAATACGCACAAACCATTCACGTTTATTTAGGTGTACATAACACATATGTACTTAGACACAATTTAAACTTTAAATCAGAATTTCCTCCTCAGAAAGGCTCTAACAAGTAAGCACAGCAGTTATTTTCACAACCTAAAATTTCAGTGGCACCCAAATCTCTACAGTCCTACCAAGGTCTTCAAGGTCCAAATCAACTTTGGGATTACCACTGTTAGTTCTTATGTCAATAAAAACCAGTCGCTTATTTTTCACTTCGAATTCCTTCAGATGGAATACTGAATATGTTCACGTTTTGAGATGTGTATACCTTCAGAGACAAATAAATAAATTCATCAAAATGAACTAAGTAACTGCTTCATTAGGTTATAAAAATGCACGACCTCCAATCTCAAAGTTCCCAGTTGAGTAGAAGAATGGATGCATTTGCCATTTATTCCAATACAAAGCAAAGTGGGATCAAGCCCCAAATAAGAGCTATGAGAATGCAGAGACTTAGTGGAAGAGGCATTACATTTGTAGAGAAGAATGACTCTTCTCATAATGTATGAAAGGGAAGGAAGTATCTCTTCCAATTCATAGTGGAGGCCAATATGGCCTTTGAATACATAAGAGAACACAGAAGAGGCAGCCTACAGCTGGAAAAGAGGAGCGACATGTAGGCTGGGCCAGTGCATGGAAAGTGATGTAACCCACAGAGGTAACTTGACAAGGCTTGACGAGAATTCATATTTGCAAATCAACAAGTCATCATGAGACATTTAGTACATTTTAGAATTAAGACAGAATGTGAGGATGCTGGTATGTTTGGAATGAGTCCAACCAGAATCCCAGTGTGCTAGTAGGAAGAGATGGGGATTTCAGAGGTGGTTCCTTCCTCATGAGAGGCCTTAAACCACTTTAAATGAAGCTTCCTGAGTGTCTGCTTGCCCTTGTTTGCCCTTCTGCCTTCTGCTATGTGAGGACACAGAAAAAAGCCATGTACCTTCAAATTGGACTTGTAGCTTCCAGAACTGAGAAAACAAATACCTTTTCTTTATAAATTACACCATCTGGAAGACACTGTTACAGCAGCACAAAGCCCTTAGGCAGAAGTGTCTCTGAACTATAGGATGGTCATATCAAAATGGTAAAATAGGTCCTTAGAAACTTAAAATTGCAGAAGTTTTAGTAAGCACACCCTAATTGCAAACAGAACTAAAGCCACAGCATGAAGTATTTTATGAGTAGAGGCAATCTGATCATCATAATTTGAAGAGATTTAGAAAACTAATTTCTAAACAGTAAACATCTGTATGTAAAGTATTTAAACAACCCCTCCATTGCTTTTATTATTCTATTATTCATACTACAGCAGGCTGCAGAAATTGGTGGGGGATTAATGTATCCAATGGTCCAGCTGTTCTTTACCCATGACCCCTAGCGAGCCTCACTGTCCAATACAGAAATAAAAAGTTCTCTGAAAGTCAAATCTTTGTAATCTGCCCACATGCTGCCTCCTTTTACAGCTAACATTTCCTGTATGATAAGAACTTGCCAACAGCAGCCTCCCGTTCTCCCAGGATTCAAGAACAATCACCTCCCTCTGAATCGGGGCCCCAGCATGAAGGTTTCCTGCCATGGTTCTTCCAAGGCTGCCATCTGACTAGAGCTTAAGCTTGCCACCCAACTCTGCTGCTCTCTCTGCCGAATCTGTGAGGTTTTAGCATTACTAAGCCCCACTTAGTCATCTGAAGTAGAGACAGGTGCTTGTCCAAGTAGAGCTATAATGATAAGAAGGTCATTTACTTCACAATGCTTGCCAGAATGGCTGAAAAACATCACCAATGTCCTCAAACTTCAGATACCTTCCCCACTTCATAGGAAAAAGAAGATAAAAATCCTTGAATGTGCCAGGTGATGGTGGCTTATAGCTAGTAATCCTAGTTATACAGGAGGCTGAGATCTAAGGAGGATCATTGTGCAAAGCCAGCTTGAGCAGGAAAGTTCAGGAGACTCTTTGCTCTACTAAAGGTGTGGCTCAAATGGTAGGGCCACCCTTGTGCACAAAAGCTAAGGTTTGTGTCCAGTCCCCATACACAAACATACAAACACATGTAAAAATCTTTGAAGTAAATACTCAGAATGAAGCGGGAAGCCGGTGGCTCATGCCTGTAATCCTAGCTACTCAGGAGACTGAGATCTGAGGATCACAGTTCAAAGCCAGCCCAGGTAGAAAAGTCAGAAAACCAATTAACCACCGGAAAACCAGAAGTGGCTCTGTGGTAGAGCACTTGTCTTGAGCAGAAGAGCCCAGGGGCAGAGCCCAAGCCCAGAGTTCAAGCCCCATGGGGAAAAGAAAGAAATACATAGAATGAAAAGGATCCATTGAGACAAAGCAGAAAATGAGTAAGGCCTTTATTTAAGAGACCCTCACTTTCTCTTCTTGCCTTCTCACCAACTGAGCCTTAGGGACCCAAGACTTTCACTGATGTCTGTCACATGGGCTGTTGCTCCTCTCATTGTATGGAAAGGACTTTTTTTATTCCTTCGAGTTGAGGAGGGGAAACTAAGTTGGGAGAAGAAAGATAGGACCAGAAAGAGACTGCTTCCATGTATCACTGAGGCTAATGCTTGCCACATTCCCACAACCTGCTTGATCCTGACCAGGAACCCCAGCCAGTGGGAAACAGTCATAGAGGAACAAATAGAATGCAGAGACAAGTAAAATGCAGGGTTCAAGTAGAAAGAAAGGTCACTGGGACAGATGGCCAAAGGGGAGTGGAGGAAGTGAGAAGGAAAATCTGGTAGTAAAATCAGGAGCAACAAAAACCTTCCTCCACCACCACCAAGTATTTTGTAAAAGGGAAATCAACTTGTGTCATGATTTGCTTTTCCAGATTGATATACTTTCATTACTCTCAAGAAATGTGTAGCTGGGTACCAGTGGCTGACACCTGTCATCCTAACTACTGAGAACTAAGGATCATAGTTTGAAGTCAAGTCACCAAGAGATCATAATGAAAGGAAGAGGTATAGCTGTATTTCAATACAATTTATTTTTGTACATTGGACCTGGAATCCTTTACAAGTTCATTACACACAAAAATTCTTCTTGACATTTTATTTTAACCATTTAAAATATAAAAATTATCTTTAGTCTTCAAGCCCTACCAAACCAAGCAGCAGGCCATATTTTGAAATCAACCTATATATATATATATATACATATATATATATATATGTATATATATATGTATATATATACATATATATAGTCTATCTACTCCTATATTTTCTATTATTTGATCTATTGTCAACTTTTGTTTATAGTGCTTGAGATATTGGATCTCATGTCATTGAACTTTTATTACCAACACAAAAGTGTATATGAGGAGATAGGTGTAATATTTATTACTTTATTTGAACTGCAATAGAAATTCAGTAACCAGGGTACCAGGATCAAAGGTCTTTGACATAAAATATAAAGATAGCTTCTTTTAGAATGAATCTATAATTATTCTCTGCACACAAGTGTTGAAATTAACTGAGCTGAAAATACACAGATCTACATATAAATGATTTCAGTGAGATTAGCTCATCATATTTTTATATTATATGTACAACAACCTATTTGTCAAATTCTGAGCAGAGTGCAGGAGAGAAATAACACAGGAAGCTTTCAGATAGCAGGATTCACAAAAGAGCAACAATGTAAAAACTAGAAGCAGAAAAAAATCATCCATAACAAAAAACATTAAACATATCAGTTTTAAAAACAACAACAATGGAAACTCAAACTAAACAAGCCACAATTGTCCTTAGCACAAAGGCGAAGAAGAAATTAGCTGGGGCTGGGGGGGGGGGGGGGGCGGAGGGGAGGAAGGGCTGCTAGAGATAAAACTTTTAGGAGAAAATGTACTCTACTAGCTTTGTGTGATGGTAAATACAAAGGTTCTAATAAATGTTCATATTGTTTTATTTATTGTCTTGTTCTATACTTTTAAAGGCCTTGTTGAATAAATATCTATTAGATCAACAAATATTTGCCAAGCTCAGGTTACGTAGAGGACAATTACCCATGGGTACCCTACACACATGTGCGTGACCTTGGCTAGCTGACCCAGAACTGGTCTCAGGGCTACTCATCCTCAAAGTCATCTCAAGTATGGTCTAACAGAAGTATATGTATAGAGCTTATGGGATATATTAAACTAGGTTTTAAATAGTAAAAAAGAATAAACAATAAGCAATTGATTAATTTTATGTATCTCAAATGATATAGCAACAAAATATGAGTCTTAAAAATAGAATGTCAATGCATAAATAGACAGACAGACATGGAGAAAACAGTAAGAAACAAACTTTAAACAGATTTGCCAACAAGTTGCTATCAATATTTGGTAACTCAGGCACATAAAGGCTGAATAATAGAATTTATTTCTGAAGGCAGAAGCACGTTGAATAAAAAATATTGAAAATAGGGGCTGGGAAGGTGGCTCAGTGGTGGAGCGCTTGCTTTGCATGCCTGAGGCCCTGGGTTCGATTTCTCAGCACCACATAAGCAAAAAGAAAAAAGCCAGAAGTGGCGCTGTGGCTCAAGTGGTAGAGCGCTAGCCTTGACCTGAACAGCTGAGGGACAGCGCCCAGGCCCAGAGTTCAGGCCCCACGACTGGACCCAAAAATAAATAAATAAATAAAATAAAAATAAAAATAAATAAAAAATATTGAAAATAAGTGAATGAATGTATAATATTCAAAACAGTTCATCAAATAAGTGGAATTAGCAGATCTACATTAAAAATGTATTAACATGTGAGTATAGATTTGTCATAACACTTAGACATAGTCTAGCATTGAAACATTCATTTAACCATC